TCAAATGTCCCGGCATCCGCCGGAGGAGATGGACGGGGACGCTGCAGGGGACACATCGTGGGAGCGAAGGACAAGGTAAGTGCTGCAGGGACCCCCAGAGAACGCTGCATGGTAAGCCTGAGTGTAGCTCGGGGATACCGTTCTTGGTATAGAAATTCTACCCCGAGCTACACTCGGGAAAACCGCTAAGGAGGTTAAAGAAGGCTTCTGGAATTTTAATTGGTACCATTTGAAATCTATACAGTATTTTAGGCATAATTACCATTTTGACTAGGTTTATCCGTCCTATCCAGGATGGATTTCCTCCTTCTAGTCTTTTTAAATCTTCCCTGATCTCATTTACCAAAGAAATATAGTTTAATCTATACAAATGCTTAGATGAGGCAGTGAGTTTTATTCCTAGGTATTTTATCTCTTTTTCTCTCCATATAAAGGGGAATTCTTTTTGTATTTTTTCTTTTTCATTCTTTGGTATATTAATATTCAGGATCTCTGTTTTCGTTGGATTAATTTTTAAATTTGATAGTTCACCGTACTCCGTACTCCTTCAGAATCTTCATTATATTTGGGAGTGTTATTCGGGGATTCCCCACATATAACAATAAGTCGTCCGCAAAGGCCGCTACTCTATGTTCTATGGATCCTATCTGAATTCCCTTTACCGATCCACTATTTCTTATTATTGACAACAAAGGTTCGAGTGACAATACATATAGCAGGGGGGACAGTGGGCAGCCTTGTCTTGTACCATTAGACATTCCTATGGGTTCTGATCTCTCCCCATTTACCGTGATGATTGCAGTGGGCTCTCTATATAATTTACTTATCCACTCTCGCATTCTATCACCTATCCCCAGCACTTTTAAGTTGTCCATCATAAAGCCCCAGTCCACTCTATCAAATGCCTTCTCTGCATCAATTGACAAGAGCGCCACCGGGGCTTTCCCTTTTCTACTTTTCTGAATAAGCATCAGGGTTCTCAAGCCATTATCTCTGCCTTCTCTCCCCGGTACAAAGCCCACCTGGTCTCCATGGATCCATTCAGGCATCAGATCCCTCAACCTATTTGCTAACACCTTTGCATACAGTTTAGTATCAGTGTTCAATAGTGAGATAGGTCTATAGCTGGAGCACTGAGATGGATCTTTTCCCTCCTTGTGAATAAGTACTACATGGGCCTGTAGGGATTCTCTCCTCACTTCCATCCCACCTCCCAGAGCATTCATATATTTCTCCAGCTTGGGTATCAGTACTTCACTGAATTTCTTATAGTACTTAACTGTATAGCCATCCGGACCTGGGCTTTCCCCCCCCCCCTGTGCTTTTTAATGCTTTTTTAATTTCTTCCTGGGAAATTTCTGCGTCTAGGGAGTTCAACTGTGCTTCGCTTAGCTTTGGTAATCCCGCATTTTTTAAGTATGTCATCTTTTTTTTATTAATTCCCACTTGAGCTTCTTTTAGAGGGCCTTGGGGATTAATATTATATAACTTTTTATAATACTCTTCGTAAATACTTTAATAATCTCTTTGTTTGAGTGGACCAACTCCCCCTTTGAACTTTTTATCTTTTCTATATAGTTCCTATTTTTTTTTTTTATTCAAAGCTCTCATTAGATATCTTCCTGGTCTGTCTCCCCATCTATATCTCTCATTCAAAACCCTGTTGTATACTCTTCTCTTCTCCTCATCCATCAACCTCTCAAGCTCATCTTTTTTATCCAATAACTTCTGTCTCGTATCTTTTGTTACGATGTGAGTGCTCTCCGATAACCTCCGAGCATAGACCACCACGGAAACCCCCTATGTTTAGACCTTGGAGACCTACCTGAGTGAGGAGGTCTCCAGGGGGAGAGACGCCGGGCTCTGGAGAGACGGGAGCGGAGCTCGGGGAGGTGAGCGTGCCGCGGTGACCAGCGATCAGCTGTTCGGTTGCCGGGGAGATGGAGTAAGGAGGAGTGACCACGTGGGTTGGCCGCAAGGCAGCTCTGGGAAGCGGAGACGCCGGCCGGCTCCCTGCCAAGTGCCGGGTCCCAGACAGGAGAGCGGAGACGCCGATTTACACCCCAAACATACAGAAAAGAAGAAAGAGAAACAGGACCCACACCCACAGTGTATAGGAGACCCTGCAGGAATCCCCCAGAGACATTGGCCAGGTGTAAAGAGTGGACGGCTGAGGATCTAAGTCGACCCACTGGGTGAGTGGGTGAAGAAGGGTGAGTCCACACGCAAGAACCACATGTAACTGTTTATGCTGGCTGATCTGTGGGAAAGGACTTAAATATTGCCCATAAAGAGAAAAAGGGGGATTCCCAGGGGATTTGGAAAGTGAGAAGTGGTAAAAAGAAGTGTTAAACTGACAGAACCTGTCTGACATCATTACCCCAATATACAGCTTAAAATTTTCCCTCTGATTAAAGAGCACAGTTATTGCAGAAGATATGAAGAATAAAAGCGCTAAAGGAAGTGGGCTAAAAGGGTCTCAGACAGGTACAATTAAAAAATACACCTCCCAGGGGAATGCGACTCCAGAAAGAGCCAATAGTGGAAATGAAAAAGGGGAAATGGAAACTTCCTTGGAGAACAGTCCTAGAATGTCATTGGGCTTGGAAAGTAGTAACCAACAGTGGAAAGAAAATTCCGTTAGGATAGATCTGGCAAAAGATCTACAAGTGCCAAATAAAAGAGAGATGGCTGAAATGTTTAAGGATCTGGAAAAAACTATTAAGCAAGAAATGACAAATATACGTCAGGATCTAGGGCACCTGCTAATAAGAATGGAAGAAATGGAGGGAAAAATTAACAAACATACCCAAGACATCACGGACTTAGAAAAAAGGTCCACTATGATGAGGAATACGCAGAAACAACTGCAGTATAAAATAGAAGTACAGGAGAACAGATCCAGGGGAAGCAACTTGAGGATAAGAGGAATCCCAGATATTCTGAAAGGGGGAGATCTACGAGATATAGTCTGTAAAATGTTAAACTCCATCATGGATAGACCTGAAACAGAGGAAATTAAACTGGATGGAGTTTTTAGAGCAGGAAAGTTCCAACAAGGTAATGCGAAGGAAAAATCAAGAGATGTGATTGTTCAGTTGCAAAATTATGGAGATAAAGAAGAGATTTGGAGAAGGATTAAAGGAAGAACACTATTCAATATGGTGATATAAATTTACAGATTTTTTGCGGACTTATCGCATGAGACTTTGTGGAGAAGAAGAGCTTTGAGGCCCCTATTAGAGCAGATGAGATCAAGGAATGTGCAATACAGATGGGGTAACCCAGAGTGTTTAATCGGGTTGGAAAAAACGGTGTTACAGCATATCTGAGATTTCCAGAGGACTTAAGAGACTTTTGTGACAGACTGGAATTGCAGAGAATGAGGATCAGTGGGTGGGAAACAGAGATAGAAATCGGTATAGGGGAAAAAGAAGCATGGCAGGAAGTAGGTAGGGGAGGGGTAGCGAGGAGTTAGTTGGGCTGGTGTGGGTTTTTTTTTTTTTCTCCTCTTCCCTAACTTCCTCTTTAAATCGTACCGCTAAGGATAAAGAAACAAAGCAAGGGTGGGAAACCGTGGTGGTTGGAGGAGGGATGAGCCGTACATGGGAGGAGTTCAATCCCCAGGTATAAAAATCAAAGGTGGGTTTATTACCACAAATGATTGATAGGCAGTTTGAAGGCCTAATTAGGGGGGGGGGGGGGGGGGGCGGTGGGGGGTGGCATGGGCAGGGGGGGGGGGTTGGGAGGGGATGGGAGGGGGGTGGGACGGGAGTTGGGTGGGGGGGAGGGAGGAGAGGAGGTATTGGGTTAATACTCTGCAGGACAGTAAGGATAAAAAGGAAGAGGCACTTGGAAGAGAGATGGAGTTAATTGGGGAATGATGGAAGAAATACAGTTTTATAACCTATAATGTGAACGGGCTGAGTTGTCCAGGGAAGAGATTTAGGCTCTTTAATGAGTTACATCATAGGGCGACGTCAGTGGTATTTTTACAGGAAACGCACTTTGAGATAGAAGCAAATGTGAAATTGAAATCCAAACACTATCCAATATGGTATTATGCAGATTCTCCAATTAAAAGAGCAAAAGGGGTTGCAATAGGTTTGTCAAAGAATATAAGATTTGAGCTGGAGGATAGAAGAACCGACCCGGAGGGGAGGTTTTTATTCTTAAAAGGTAGACTTCAGGGGATAGAGTGTACTTTAGCCAATATATACTGTCCTAATAAAAATCCGGAGATGTATATGAAGGGTCTGTTGAAAAAATTAATGGAATTTAAAAAAGGGCGTTTGATAGTAGCTGGAGACCTAAATTTCTGTATGGACCCACAAAGGGATAATACCTCTTCTGTGCAGAGAGAGGGGAGTAGGTCTCTGAGAGCTTTGAAGAAAGTGATGCATGAATATCAACTAGTAGATACTTGGAGAATAACGCATATGAAAGACAGAGACTATACCTTCTTCTCTAATGCACATGAGATGTACTCGAGATTAGACTACATCTTAATAGACCATCAACTTATAGATCATCTGGTTAAAATTGATATAGAGACAAGGACGCTCTCGGATCATGCTCCGGTCGTAATGAAAATGGGATGGGGAAGAAGGGGGTCTGGAGGATTAGGGTGGAGGTTAAATGAGGCTCTTCTTCTGGATGAGGATGTAGTTCAGAAAATCGAGAAAGAGATCAAGGTATATTTTATGGAGAACAAAACAGAGGAAGTATCGATAGCTACAGTCTGGGAAAGCCATAAGGTATTCATAAGAGGTATCTTGATTGTGGCAGGAGCAAGGAAGAAAAAGGAAAGAAGAGAGAGAGGGTCAGTGGATTATTAAAAGAAATATTGGACTTGGAGCAGATACATAAGATGAAAAAAATGTTTTATAGGTGTGTTGTCTGTTGGAGAAATTCCCGATTACTTTATGTTATTATCCGCTTTCCCGCCACCCTATAGTAGACAGGGCGACATGGCTGTGCAAAATTACGTATATATATACATGATTTTGCATTTCCTGGTAGGGCAGCCTCAGCTGTCGATCACCAGGTCCCAGCTGGTGATTCCCCGCTGACACCCGGCGATCACAGAGTATCACTGACGGGGGGAGAGACCTGTATGTAAACAATACAGATCTTTATAGAGATCTCTCCCCTGTCAGCTCCTGCACACTGCTTTGTATTGCTCTGCATAGCAGAGCAATACAAAGCAATGTGCTGACACAGCACATTGTAAAAACACACACACAGTTAACCCTTTGATCGCCCCAGATGTTAACTCCTTCCTGCCCAGTGCCATTAGTACAGTGTTAGTGCTTTTTATTAGCACTTATCACTGTTTTAGTGTCACTGGGGATGTCAGTGACAGTTAGTCAGTTTTCCCCCCAGTGTGAGAATGTCCGCTGTAGTCCCGAAAGTCCCGCTATAAGTTGCTGATCGCCGCCATTACTAGTATAGCAAAAAAAAAATTCCAGTATATATTCCGCCATTTGTAGACGCTATAATGTTCACGTAAACCAATTAATTTACATGTATTGGGTTTTTGTTTTAGCAAAGACATGTAGCAGAATACATTTTGGCCTGAATGTATGCATTTGCAGAGAAAAAAAAAATACACAGACGATCAAATACCACTGAAAGAAAGCTCCATTTGTGGGAAAAAAGGACATACATGTCATTTGGGTACAGAGATGCATGACCGCGCAATTGTCAGTTAAATAATGCAACGTCATATCACGAAAAATGGCCTGGTTAGCAAGGGGGGGGGGGGGGGTAAATCCTCTGGAGGGCACTGGTATGCACTTACCATTGTGCTACATTTTTAAAAATCTAACAGATTTTCCTTGCTACATCCCCTGTAACTGACAGCTTAACAGGCAATTACTGTAAACTAGGCGTTGGGAAAAACAAAATGAAGAAACATAATAATGATGAACAAGAAGAAAGATGGAGAATTCAACTAGGCTCTAAATTCATTCTTTCATTCTTTTATTGCTTACACTAGATCACCTGGAAACAAAAAAGCAAAAAACACATATACAGTATACTGTATAATATGTAAATTTACTATATAATACATATGCAGATTAGCCTTTTCTAGTGCTAGAATGAGGGGGGATCATAAGGGGTGTTGAAGATACCCTTTACAATCTCATCAGGATGCCTCACCAAAATAGCAGGTGGATGCACCTGATTCCTGTATTTGTCATATCATGTTTCTGTGGGACAGGTACATGAATCTGTCCATACTGGACATTCCTTCCTCAGTGTATTTCCTCGCTCCCCAACCACTGCGTCCATTTCACCAATAGAGACATGGCCAAAAAGTTTTGCACTGTGTTGGGAGGAGCCTGATGGGGAAATGATTGACTTATTCCCCATCAGGTCCGCTGATCTGATCCAGCTGGTCCTGCTATTGATTGGCAGCGCATGTCAGTGGGCAGATCCACAGCCGTTATTCAGTCCAACAGCGGCATTCAAATCGACCCGCTGTCACATGGTGATGCAAGATTTGGGACAATTTCACCAATTTTACCTACCAATGGGTAATCATGTGGCTTAGCTCTGCTTTAAGGCTAGGTTCACACTAGCCAGCAGTCTGTGAGCTGGGTGCAAGTGTAGGAATCACACCTGTTCCTGAAAACACAACCACTCACAGCCAAATCACACTGCTCTTATGAAACGTGTGGGGCTGCCATTCATTCTGAATAGCACCCCATGCATCTCAGCCTGCAAAGCATTTGTGGGTGTGGGAACCATAAGGAAACTGCATGGTCAAACAGAACATGTGGTTTCCCTGCGGTCACATTTTCAAAAAGGTGCATGCATGTGGAAATGTGGGCACAGGAGCCCATTCAAATAAATAGACTGCCGTGCCCGAGCAAATGCTGGCTGCACAGCCCGATATAGTGTGAACCTAAGCTAAAGAATTACATTTCCTTTTTTATTTAGTTCTACATCAAATCAAAGAGAAGTATCGATAAGATCCATTACAGAAATGTTAGTATTAGAGTTTGGAAAACAGATGCAGGAGAGCAGTCTCTAGGTAGAGTGGAATACGAAGGTCTATTTTCTTATCCAGTGCATGATCAAAAATCTTTTTAAAAGTCTTTTACATTCAGAGTATTAGAAAATGATAATATAATGCAAGCAATAAATTCCCCAGATCCATGAGATTAAACGTTTAGTAATTTGAAACACATTGGGTGAATTTATGAAAATCGGAGAGTACAAAATCTGATGCAACCATGCATGGTAGCCAATCAGCTTCTAACTTCAGCTTGTACAATTAAAAAATCTGCACTCCCCAGTTTTACTAAATCAAACCCATTATTTTTGAATGCCAAGACTAAAAAAACCCCCAAAAAACTAAGCAGATTATAATGAAGTGAAGTTGACTTTCACCAAACATTCACCACAGTTGAATCTTCCCACTGCATGGGTTTTAAATTGCAATGACTGACTGTCCATCAGTGAAAGTTTGATGAAACGTCTTTATAAATATTCTCCATAGCAACAAGAATACCACCTGCATACTGTTTTTAGTGAATTGATACTTTAGTAACTAAGAGTAGAGTGTGGTAAGTGCCAATCAGTACCATTTAGTACATGTCCCATTCAGGTGAATGGGGACATGCTGTAAACGCTTTGCAACAGTGTGCATTGCACATGGTTGCCACATGTTGGTGCAGCATATTTGGGGTTAAACAGTTGTCATTGTCACCTCACCACCTGCTGAAAAGCAACCCAAAAGTGGATCTTTATGAGAGCCACGAAAATTTAGCTGCATATCTAAATCCAGCCTTAAAGACAACTCAGGCACATAGTAAAAGTTCACTTGTAATTTCATGTTGGATTATCATCTGGATCTAGAAGAGATAAACAAATGACACCAAGATTCAAATATGAATAGATACACCTCTTGTGTTTAGAAAATATTTGTTTAGACTGGATTCAAGTTTAAAGTTTCAAATGAACTCTGAGACGGCTATTTTCATTAAAGTGAAGCAGAATCCAAGCAATGTGGGTGCATTAGCACTACACATGTAAATATTAACTAATTTCCATTTGTTTTTAGTGGCAGATGATATCCCAGGCTACTTCCTCGTCAAAACTGTTCTGTCTCAACTGATTTTGTATTAGATTCCGTATTAGAATGTTTCCCTATTCAAGTCAACTGGAAAACAGAACTCCCAATTTTGCTGTATCTGTGTAACACACACAACTACAGCTAATGCCTAGTACAGATTATCAGAAAATCGGACGATAAATACAGCTTTCGAAGCAACTGTACAATAATCTGATTATTAGTACACACCTTTCGAGAGCCGATTGCGACAGTTCATGTGAAATTATCCAAAGGGACAAACATGAAAATATTTCTGGTATGATATCAGAAGGAATTATTTTTCTTAATCAGAATAGTATTTGTCCAAATAAGAATCGAAAGACCAAGACCATGTATGCTCGGAAATGAAAGAATACATTAAAATACAATACAATCACATCTGAAGTTATATTCTGTCGTACAAGAATTTTCATAACTTTAGTAACCTCTTCATTTTTTTATATGAGACTAGCTTGCAAAAGAAAATGGATGATCATTCGTCTGATATTCTCATCGTGTGTATGAGGCTTAAGAAGTACAGCAGTAAACTTTGGGACAGTGTACAGGAAAGCAGTCGGCTGGATTTCTATCGTACAAACCAATTTGTAATTTATCGTACCACTCAAACCAATTTTTAATTTATCGTGCCACACAAATTTGTAATTTCATGTTAGTAAAAAAATCAGCTTTCCTGAAATGGAAAGCTGATTTTTTTACTAACATGAAATTCAAAATTTTTTGCGTGGCACAATAAATTCAGTCATTGCAATTTTAAATCACTGCAAAAAAAATTGGCAACATGGAGATGTTCTGAGCACTATTGATGTACTAAACGACCACAAAAATGTTATGTCCTGCTTTAGTAAAGAGCTTATTGCTTTTCTCAGAAGTCTCTACGCTCTACATAGGCTCCCCCACTTCAACAGGGATCCAGAACCTGCAGTTGTGCTCATTCCAACCCTGGGATTGCACCAGGTGAATGGGGGCACACCCTTCCCTTCATAAATCAGCTTGAGGAAAGACACTGAGAAACAAACAACTATGTCTTCAGAACACAGAAAGATATAAGACTGCTGAAAAGGTTTCCAAAAGTTGCTCTGTAATCTGGATGTTGCCTGATGTCTGCAGTTGCCAGGAACAGTGCCTGGTGTGGTTTTCTAACAGTTGTGACCCTACACAGAGACAGATAACACCCAGTAATGTATGACAGACACTGAAGAGTTTTGAGGGTATGCCCTCTTCATCAGAGCTGAGTGTCTGCTGCAATGACAAAGACACCAGTGACAGGTAGGGAGGAGGTAGCTGCAACAAACATACCACTCTGCTATTGAGCATATAGAGAGAGGCACTCTGCCTGTCTCTGTACACCAACTTTGAAATTCACTATCTAGGAATTGGAAAAAATTATCTTTGAATTTGGTGCATTAATTTTACAAATTGGCTGAACTACTGAAACAGGTAGCAGGGATTTTTTTTTATTTGGCACAGGCCATTTTTTAAGGGACAAATCTCCAGAAAAGTGTTGGTAGGGCTTTACTGAATCGCACAATACCCTATAGAAATATAGATACTGTACATTATTCTATACTGCATTACCAATTTTTGCGGTCCATAGTAAATTCACACATGCAAGAAACAGCAGGTTCTCAGATGTGGGATGGGAGGGTATGATGGGTTGCTCCTATAGAGAGGAAACACTGGCAGCACTAGAAAAGTTCCATAGTAGCTTCAACTTTATTTTTTTTGTGTGCTCTCCAGTTTCTAAGACAGTTGTTAGCTCAAGGAAAGATGGATATGCTTCAAAAAATGATGAGATAATTCATTAAAAGTGGGCACAGGTAACAAAACAGGAGGTGAACTGGTAAAATAAATTAAATCAACACTGCGTAGTGAGGACATTAATCAACGGTAATTAACTGAGATGAATTGTGCTGTGATTATATGGGGGAGTTAAATAAAGAGGTAAGTGCAGTTTAATGTCAAGGTTATTTTGGAAGATTATTTGTGTTTTGGGAATGATTATAAGGAAAGTAGGTATGTCTGTATGGAAATGATTTAGGGATTACACTGGCCATCGCTGTGGAGAAAAGTTGAAGTAACCTTGCACTGGCATTAAAATCAAAAGGCTAGCTTTTATGTCAGACACCAAAATGTACCACAGCTTACCTGCAGCATTAATGTTAATCTCTCTAAACACACGCTGAAGATCCTATGCAAAAATCATGTTTATGAAAGTTGGTATTTGCATAGGCTTAGGCACGTCAACTACCTTGTATATTACAATGCTCAAGGCTGCAAATTGTTTG